TTATATCATATTATATTATATTATATATTAGTAGGCTATTTGTGACCTGTTTCCATATATAAACATGAAATGTAAAAATAAAATCTGCTCAAGGTAACTATTCGAAATAGTTAAATTAAATGAATAAAGAAATGACAATCATATTCCTCCTAACTTCTCTCGCTTTCTCTTTCTTTTTTTTTTCTTTTTTTTTACTTGAATTTAATTTATCAGAAGATAAAATATTTTTAAATATAGTTATTGTACGCTAACTGGATTAAAAAACAGTTCGGGACTAATGCTAATATATAAACATCCAGTTGTTTTGCCTCCGGTTCGACTGTTTTATTGATGAATCTGAATATCTGTATGACTGATTTAAAATAACGATGGATTATTTGAATAGCACAGACAGTAAAAAAAAAAAAAAGCTATTAATTTAGCCTACTATTCAATTTCAGTGGACACATTGTCGCTCTTTTTGCCTAAATTTCAGAGATTTCTTGTCACTCTTGTCATTTATAGCTAACGAGCTTGAGAATTAGGAATCTTAATAATAATAATAATAATAATAACAAGAAACGAGGATTTTTTCTCTCGATTAATTTAAATTCATCGAATCGAAACAAATAACAAAACATGGCGGTAAATGAAAACGAGATAATTTCCTAAGTTTGTTATTATCCGTTGCATCGAATGAATCGGACAAAAATCGAATTAATCTTTCAAATCAAATAAATCAAATAAAAGATTAGTTGCTGTATATCAGATCGCAGATCATTTCCATTTCAAAGCTGAGGACAATTTCGAATTAAAATTCCACATGACAGTAAAATATATTTTCATATACATTTTTATACAGAAAAAAAAACATAGGCTATTGACAGATTTATTTTAAAAAATATGACTTGACAGTCAAACGACTGACTTCATTAAAAAGAAAAAACTAGGCTATACACAAGAAAATGTTTTTTTGTCCGAAGCGGGGTTTTGCTTTAAAATAGGTTAATTCTCATTATTTATAAGAATTTTTTGAGAAAGAAAGAAAGAAATTTCGGATATAATGATTTTTTTATATTTTCATCTTCATCTTTAAAATCTTAAAATCGTTTAAGAATGCTAAGAGCCTTTTGGTTTATGATTCGCACAATATTGCAAAATTACATTCCGGTAGGCTAACCCGAATATATGGACACTTATCCTAACTAGATTTTTCTTGCCTAAATAGGGAGATTCGGAGCGGGCGGGTAAAATATCGATACGAAATAATATAGGCTATCGATATAACTGTGGATTTATGATTTATAAAGTCGATTTATAAAAGTGAATTTAAGACCAGCCCCACAATCGTTATGTATTTACGTATTTTATTCTGTTTTTATTTCGTTATTTGTATTGACGTTTTTTTCTGTAATTTGGGACGGCATGTCGTGAGGGGAGGCACAGATTTGCTGCGTTTCGAGCAGGTTTCCACCGCGTTTAAAATAAAGACTGCGCTTGGACGTCTGGATTTCAGTCCTATTAAATACAAATAAATAAATATATTTATAAAACGCTGTTTATCATAATATATAGGCTGGGCCTAGCCTAGGCTACTCGCAACACCTATAAAGAATGCCGTATTTGCACGCACGGGAAATTGCCGTTAAATTTTCGGCACTTATAAAAAAAGCCCTGACTGCAGTTACTCTAGACTAGTATATGAAATAAGCACTACATATGTGTATCCAAAACAGCACTCATAAATGTCACTTCTACGTGTCCGCGCGTCTAGGTCAGCTGCGGTTGCCTCCTCCTCCCCGAGCGGCAGCTCCACTCACACAGTACCGCCGTCCTGCGGTGCCATGGTAACAGTTTAGAACGTGATGACGTCTCTTCGGAAAGACTATTATGGGCTATCGAGGATTATTCAGGCAGAGGGCTGAAGGGAAAAAAAATAGCTGCGAGGTAGAAGTAAATATGGAGCTCTCAGCCGTCGGGGAGCGGGTCTTCGCCGCCGAATCCATCATTAAACGGCGCATAAGGAGAGTAAGTGCTCATCCCAGCCTGCTCGTCGGGGCTTCGGCGCTGTTACAGAAGCGCCTGGTTATTTGTTTATGCCCGCTCAACTGACATGTTATACGCGATAGGTTAGCCTAGCAGCGTTAGCTTGCTAATTTGAGTCTCCCTGTGCTTTTACCCGCAGGGACGGATGGAGTATCTGGTCAAATGGAAAGGCTGGTCTCAAAAGTGAGTGGTAATGACACGTTAACGGCAGTTGTTGCAACGGGAGGAGCGGTTTCAAGCTCCCCGAGCTCGCTGAGTGTTAGCACGGCTGAAGCGGGGACTGTGTAACGGGGCTCCGGTGAACGTTAGCTGACAAGGCCAGTGATGAGAGACAGTCAAGATGCAACGTTCAAAAAGCATTATTAGCTGATTAATGCGGTTTATACTGGGGGGAAAAGACGCGAATAAACAGATTATGTAGCCTTTTATATATGTATCAATAAACATTATACATGCACATACAAAATCTCTTGAAATAAGTGATAAAAAATGCATCTATTAGTAATAAATGTGTAAAAAGAAAACTGTAAAAATGATTTTGGACGTTATTATTTGCGAATAATTGAACATGCAATTATTGGTGCAGATACAGCACCTGGGAACCAGAGGAGAATATTCTGGATGAGCGTCTTTTCGCTGCTTTTGAAGAAAGGTAAACGTTTCTTCGTTATTTCTGTAATCCCAGTAGACAGATTAAATATTTTGGACTTTTTAAAATAGCTTTTCTCAGCCTTATTTTCTTCTTTTTTTATTGCAGAGAGCGTGAGAGGGAGATGTATGGGCCAAAAAAGAGAGGACCTAAACCAGAAACTTTTTTAATGAAGGTGAAAGAATTATATATTATCTATGTATTTTATATTTCTTAAAACAAATTTTTTAAAACTTTTTTCTTGGCTTTGTTTTTAGTGCATTTATTTTTTTCTTGTTCTCTTGCACTTTAAAGCATTGAAACCATTGGTATCATGTTGCTGTGCTTACATTTTTTAATTAAAATGTTTTTATAGGCAAAAGCTAAAGCAAAAGGCAAAAACTGTGAGTTCAGACGGGAAATATCTCGAGATTTACATGTGTCATTCCCGGTAGCCGAACCGGTTGTGACACCCAGAGCACGTGAGGGACTGCGGACAGTCGTGCCTACGATTTTTCCACCGAGCACCATCAACAGAGGAGAAAGTGTTCGTGTGCGTCCACCGGTCTCTGAGAGAGACCCACTGATGCATGGGATGCTGGTACAACGCCCGCTGGATTTTGCCAGCTCACCAAAAAAGCGAGGACCAAAGCCAAAGTTACGTCCAGGAGGTTCATCCACTGAAGGTGTTAAAAGAAAGGCAGATGAACCATTATCTTATCGACCTTCCAAAACTGAGAGATCAGGAGAGACCTCGAACTGTGATGTCATCCATTTAACCCAGAAGTTTCAAGCAGAATCCAGCCACGTTAAAAAGCAAATGGGAAGCAGGTCAAGTGATGTAAAATTCACACATGGTGGCAACATCTTAAAAGCTGGGCTTGGTGTTTTGGGACATCGACGGAAGGACAGCCCAAGTGGTGCCATAAAGCAATCCAAAATGAAACATCCTCCCAAAAGCAATCTATTTCGATCCACCGATCAAACCAGAGAGCAGTTGTCTCTGAGTTTTGTAGACGAAACCGATCAGTCCTGGTTGCCTTGTTTGAAGAATATGGAGAAAATTGTTGTTACTGACGTAACAAGTAACTCTTTGACTGTAACCATAAAAGAGAGTTCAACGGACAAAGGTTTCTTCAAAGAAAACAGATGATGTGATTTTAATTTCTGTATGCGTGTGTGTATGAAATATTGTAATCAAATTAGAAACAACCTACATTTCTATATCATTTCTAGTCTATAAATGTAAAGTCTTGCAATCATGTTCATAATGCAAAAAAAAAATTTTATATAGTTTATGTTTAGCCTACATTTCCATTCGCATTTTCTATGAAAATGAAGTTTATTTTTCTATTTCCCAGATTTTATGTAACGTATACCAGTTGGTTTTGGTTGCCTTCTTCAGCTTTATTATGAATGTAGGTATAGGTGCTGTTAACACATATTAACGTTTCAGCTTAATGCACCTTTTTAAGGGACATTGTTTAGTCCCTCTTTTATGAATTTATGGTATTTTGCTGGTTAGATTTTGTATATATTTGAAGGTTCCAAACAGTAATCTCT